GCCTAACTAGTGCAGAGTAGAGCGGCAGAATGACTTCACGAGTTTTGCTTACAACACACCTGTTGATACCAGCAGAATGACTTCACGAGTCTTGCTTACAACACACCTGTTGATACAACCTTTACTCATATTTGCTTTTTTTGCAACAGCATCGCACTGTTGACTCATATTCAACTTGTGGTCCACTATGACCCCTGGATCCCTTTCCGCCATGCTCCTTCCTAGACAGTCGCTTCCCATCTTGTATGTATGGAACTGATTGTTCCTTCCTAAGTGGAGCACTTTGCATTTCTCTTTATTAAACTTCATCCTGTTTACCTCTGACCATATCTTTAACTTGCTAAGGTCATTTTGAATTATGTCCCTATCCTCCAAAGAAGTTGCAACCCCACCCAGTTTGGTATCATCTGCAAACTTAATAAGCGTACTCTCTATCCCAATATCTACATCATTGATGAAGATATTGAACAGTACGGGTCCCAAAACAGACCCTTGCGGAACTCCACTTGTTATCCCTTTCCAGCAGGATTTAGCACCGTTAACAACTCCTCTCTGACTACGGTTATCCAGCCAATTATGCGCGCACCTTATCGTGGCCCTATCGAAGTTATATTTGCCTAGTTTATCAATAAGAATATCATGTGAGACTGTATCAAATGCCTTACTGAAGTCTAGGTATATGACATCCACCGCTTCTCCCTTATCCACAAGGCTCGTTATCCTAACAAAGAAAGCTATCAGATTAGTTTGGCATGACTTGTTCTTCACAAACCCATGCTGGCTATTCCCTATCACTTTATTACCTTCCAAGTGTTTGCATATGATTTCCTTAATTACCTGCTCCATTATCTTCCCTGGTACAGACGTTAAACTGACCGGTCTGTAGTTTCCTGGGTTGTTTTTATTCCCCTTTTTATAGATGGGCACAATATTTGCCCTTTTCCAGTCTTCTGGTATCTCCTCTGTCTTCCATGATTTTTCAAAGATCTCCACTATATCAAGGAACTCCACTATACAGTCATGTGAAAAAGCATGTTCTTTTATTGATTTTGAGTTTCCCAACTTTTAATTTAATGTCCCTGTTATTTTTTGGTATACGGTTCAGACCAGTGAGGTGTTGTAATCACTTTGTCCTATGACCCTGGGAATCTTATAATGCTTTTCTGCTGTAGCTCTAATGTCTGGATATACCAAGCCAGTACAAATATGTTTTGGGAGCCTGTGACACAAGCATCTCCGGGCCAGTAGCTCTAAATCTAGCAACCTTTATTTAAAAAAACAAAACAAAACACCACAGCTACACCTTGGCCTCCATTAGCCTTAATTACACCTGACAAAATGACCCTGTTACCCTCCTTGAGCTTCAAATTTACATCCAAACTGTATGCTCTCTAAAGTCAACCTCCCTCTTTTTTTGCTCCATTCAAGTGAATAGTAAGGTTTTTCTTCTTTAAAGAGACAATCTGCAGACCTTTTCTCTTTACCTAGAGCAGTGCTCCCCAACCATTTGGCGTTGCCGGGCACCAGGGGGCATGGCCGTTCGTCTGCCGGGCACCAGAGGGTGGGGACACTCGTGCACCTGGGGGCGGGGCTGCGCATATACCACACCCCCATGAGCCAAGTGCCTGGGACTGGCGCCCCCCCATAGCCGCGCACCAGGGGCTGGCGCTCCCCATGCGCTGTGCACCCGGAGTACGGATGGCGCCCCTTCCCCCCTATAGCCGTGCGCCCGGGGCCGGCGCTCCCCATGCGCCGCATGCCCGGAGCATGGATGGTCACTTCGCCGCACGCCCGGGGCTGGCGCCCTTCCCCCCCCCCATAGATGCGCACCCGGGGCTGGCACGTAACCGCATGCCCGGGGCTGGCGCTCACCGTGCATTATGCGCCCGAGGCCAGCGCATGTGCCACGTGTCCGGGGCCAGGCTAGCCCCGAGCACTTGGCGGGCGCACACAAATGCCCCTGCGGGCACTGTGTTAGAGACCACTGACCTAGAATTAACGATCAGTTCAATTCAATGTTCAGCACTTGGTTGCTTTAGATTAAATGTAAAACAAGTTTATTAACAAAAGAAGAGTGAGTTCAAGTATGAAGAATAGAATTAAAAATAGTTACAAGCAGTGTTCCCTCTAAGGTATGTATCTGCACAGGAGCACACCAAGAATTTGAGGCCTTCCCACCTCTTCAGCAGAGGTGTGTAGAGGCTGCTCAACTGCTCTGGGGCAAGATCACATGGTGGGCAGCTGTCCTGCTCCAGGAGCAGCAGGGCAGCCACCATAGGGCCCTAGTCCTAGCTTCTGCCCTTCCCCAGAGCTGGACCTGTGAGCCGTGTGGTGGGCAGTGGCTGCTCTGGCAGCCCCAGCTGGGGCCAGAGATGGAATCTCATGGTGGGCAGCTGGCCAGTGAGGTTTGGGCAGGCAGGGCCGCTCTGGCAGCTGGGGCCATATGGTGGGACTCCAACTCTCACAATGTATGTTCCAAAATTAGTACAGCAGTAGTAAATTTATCAGCTATCAGTAATTGTACAAAATATATTGCAACACATACCTGCATGTAAGGTTAATTTCAAGTCTTAGGGTTTTTTTTGTTTATTCTTACTATTCTAATTTATTGGTTGGGGAGAAAATTAATCCACATGCAGGGGGGCCCAAGCAGTAGTATTTTATCTTGACTCTGCACTAGGATGAATTTTACTTTTTTTGTGCTAGCCATGACAACATACAGGTATTTTATCACATTGTGTTTTAAGGTTCATTTTAATCTGAGCCTGTTTTAAAATCTTATTTGATTTATACTCTACTCTTTTAGCTGCTAATGAGGTCAGGTTAACCCTCCCTGACAAACCAGCCAGCAGTGAAGAGTTGATAAGTATAGAAGTAGTTATATCAAAAAGTACTATCACTGAAGTCATTGAATGCCTCAAACTTTTATTGCTATCCTCCCCAAAGTCCCTCCAAAAGCACTGTAAAAATCTGGAAATAATTTGATCTATCTGCAGTTGCCAGTTCATGAGTTATAGAATATATGTTGGGAACTAAATGCATGAAATAATCTGGATTCCTGACAAGAATTAATGTATCTTTTCTGGTTTGTGCTCATCAGATTTCATGAATTAGGATTTCTTAATATGAAATGACAAGATGCATTTCAGCTCAGTGAGAATGCCTCATCTACTGTCTTAAAACTATTTTGTCCTAATTACTTTACACTTTCAGTTGCCCATCGCTATTCAGTCACACAAAATGACAATTTACATCGGTGCAGGTTCTGGTCCTTGGTTTTTCCTTTTTCAAATTTATCTGCTTGGAACCAGTGCTCCCTATAAGATTTTTTCCATCCATGAGTGGAGTGAGTTTTGTCATGTGTGCAGAACTTACTATGGTGCTGTAATGATGGCACCAATGTGTGAGTCCCATTCAAAGCTGAGAAACATGATCATCACCTTGCAGAAGTTTGTATTCTTTGCTACCAATCAGTAGCTAATTAATTTGGTTTTGAAAATCAACTGTTGGAGATGTTGTCTCAGATGTGTGTTATTGCCCTGGATAATATGGCTTGGCAATGCAAATGTGTGAGTATTATCTCCTGTGACTGCTTGGGGTTGCCAAATTGTATAGGGACCACTGATGGAATGCATATGTCTATTTGCCTGTCCCCCTGTTTGTCTTTCTCCCATACACTCTCCAAGCAGACCTTGGAGCTGATCAGCAGAAAAAGGGTGATATTTTCATGATCATGCAAGATTTGCTTGATCATCTTGGCAAGTTCGCTAATGAGGGTTTGGTCCTATACAGGAACTTTAGCAACTCATTACTGTTACGTGCATTGAAAAATGGAACTCTTGTTCCCATAATCGCTATGAACATTGGTGGTGTATTTTCAGCTTTTAGTCTATCTGATGTCATATCATTAATTTTAAATGGGAGTACAAGCCTCGTAGCGATATAAATAATTCCAAAATAGCTCTCTCTCCTCTTCCAGAGTAGTTATAGTGGAATAAAATGCAAGATAAAGCAAAAAAATAATTATTTGTGTGGATACAAGGCAGATTACGCTGGACAAACTGAAAGATAAACTCGACACATTTTCTCATGTAGACAAGGCCTGGGACAGATGTTCTGTGGAAGATAGATCGTATCCTCCTTCTCTCAATGAAGTTTTCAATCCTCTAAGTTGTAGAAATATGATCAGACCTACTAAAAAGGGATTGTGGATTGGACTCACCTTTTGTAGAACTCTTCATAGAAATTTTAAAAAATGTTTTAATAATTGGTTGCCAGTAAGAAAATTTGTATTTAAAAATACAAGTAAGGGTACATAACCTTTTCTGAGTAATTTATCTACAGTTGAATGCTTGTATCAAATCCATGATGCATGCCATCTATAGAGGGAGGTTAAAATACTGACCAAATATCTAAATGTAATTGTCATTCTTTTTAAAAATTGGCTACCTGGTGTGTTTCCAGGGTAGAGTTAATGCTGATGTTTGGACACACAAAATCATAAATGATTTAGGGTTTTTCCTTCATGCAAAGGTGTCCCTCTCCCTATGTTACACTTCCACAGTTGAAATTGACAGAAGTTTTTCAACTGGAGACTCTTGGTATGAAAGAGAAATTGCTGTTGAGTAAGTGTCCTTTTCCCTTTGGAAATTTGCTCCTCTCCCCACTTCCCCGCCTTTTAGTCCACAATAGACTGAATTTGTTCACTTTTAGGGTTTTTAAATAAAAAGGGCTTCTGACTTAACAGAATAATACTGATGGTATAAAGCACAGAGAAAAGTGGAGACTATTTCTTGTTTTTAGTGTATCATTATTCAGTGATTGCTATATTGTTTAGGATTCCTACCTACACATTTATTCTGATTGCATTGGTTTGTGTTAGGTTGCTCTTGTCACTTTAAAAATACAAACTGGTGAAAACAGGTGACCTCTCGTACATTGTGATTGCAAGAATATAATTTCAATAGTCACATTATATATTTGTCTATTATGTTTTACAGTGAATAATCCTATACCTTCCAACTTGAGGTCAGAAGCAAAAAAGGCATCCAAAATATTACGAGAATTTACAGAAATAACTTCCGGAAATGGACCTGATAAGATCATACCAGGTTAGCAGAGATACAAATTTGTTGTAGTTGAAAGGCCCACTTCTCCAGAATTCTCTTGAGCAAAATTACTATTGTTTTCTTCACTACCCAGTATGTTCATTGTACATGTTCTCCAAGTGTAATAAAAATTTGGACCTCAAGCTATAATTTTTGTCAACTGAATTTACTGTTATGTAAAATTCAGTCTCATCCAGAGGTCTTGTGCTGAATCCTTCTCATGGCTTATCTCCCCCCTTCCCTTACCTCAATTAGCAGAAACTATTGTTTGAATGGCAATGTAGGTGGACCTCTGCATGCTGTGGAAGACATCTCCATATTAGCCTGGTATAGACTGGCACGTAAAGAGGATCAAATATAATAATTAAAACCTGTACATCTGTAGTAGTTTTAGTACAACCAGAGTCCTCAGGATAGAACTGTAGCCTTTATATATGCATTTTGAAAATATTATATAAAGAAAATCACATCTAAAGATTATTTTTATCATCTAAATCAAAACGGAGGTCAGTGGAGTTATACCAGTTTTATACTGATGTAAAAGGAGAATCAGGCCATCT